CAAATGCGAGTTGTGATAATTCCATTGCTTAGAGACCCATCCTCTCTCTTTCTCTCTCTTTCTTTCTCTCACTCTTTCTCGACGTGAAGCTTCTTTCTTTCTCCTATATATATATATGTATATATTTATCTCTGCCTTCTAAGAATCTCTGTCATTTTTTTCTTTCAGGTTCCTCTTCTTTAGCCTCTTTTTAACCGGCTATTTTATTTTTTCACTTTCTCTCACTCTATCATTCTCTTTCTCTTTAGTAATTTCTCTCTTTCTCTTTCTCTCTCTCTCTCTCCCTCTCTCTTCCAAGTTTCTTTTTGCCTATCTAAGTATCTATCTACTGCGCTGTTTCCGTTTCTCTCACAATGGATTTTAGTAACTTCTCTAACACTTTATCTACTCGCTCGCTCTCATTAAATTTTACTCTGTTGGGTATTCGTTCTGATACTCTCTCTCTCTCTCACACTCGCTCTCTCACTCTCTCTCTCTGTCTCTCTCTCTCACTGACCTTCCTCCCCTCTCTCTCTTTCTCTCTCTCTCTCGGTCTTTCCACCTATCTCTCTCTCTCTCTCTCTTAATGTATCCACAATTCGATCGATATTTTTATCTAGCTGTTAATTTCAATATTTTTATGTAGCAAATTTCTATATGGGGCCCATTCGTTGCACGTAGGGCATCTAAACGATATTCTATTTCTGTCCATGCCTGGAACATTAAAAACAACATTAATTGTGGTCCCGAGGAGAAAGACCTAACATGAATAAAACTATCAAAAGGAAAAGAACCTTAATAATAACATATTAATTTGCTTCAAGAAAAAAGGTTTTTCGTACTGACTTTTTGAAACAATCATAAGACATTTTGGAAACACTATATATATATATAACCCTACGTTGAATATACAACGAAGTTTCATGCTATTTGCCATCTTCAGGTGCAAAGTTGGGGTAGCATTGTTTAATAACTCCGTTTATCGCGTGATATTTTATTGTTAGGGAGGACAATTATTGTCACTAAGTATTTAGATTAATTGTAGCTTAATTTCGGAGTTGAATTTAGTCCGAGATTAACATGTAAGATCGAATATATATATATATATATATATATATATATATATATATGTTTGATTTAACGAGAAAAAATAACGATTTTAATATAACATTGTAAATCTGAGTTGCAGCGGCAAAAATATTATAGACACTGATATGTCTACGCAAAAAAAAATTAACCTGTCCGATGGTGAACGCTGCTGGTGACACCAGGGGTGGCACTACCCCTTTAGCCACCTAAACTGTCTTACCTCGCCTGGTTGGGCGCTGACGACAACAGTGTGTTTCATATTCTTTCATACGTTGTATTTAGAATATACATACATACATAAATATATATATATATGTGTGTGTGTGCGTGTGTGTTCGTGTGTGCGTGTGCGTGTGTATGTGTGTGTGTAATTCTGAAGAAAGGGATGGATTTTTATTTATTAATTCTAAATATTTTTATATGTTAAACGTTATTTCATTGAAATAAAAAAAAATATTCCTTTCTTTAAAAATCATTTTGTTTGTGTTAGGATACGAAATTGGGAAGATATCTCGTGACTAAGAGAAAAATATATATATATATATATATATATATATATATATATATATATATATATATATATATATATATATATATCCTTTATTTTTCTTCTCTCTTTATTTAAATAATCCGTAATTGTTAATTCATATTTGCCGTCATTCACGTATGTGGATGCAAATCTGTCTAAGCGGTCAATTTGTTTTTTAGGCTGAATCTCGTAAGGAAACGAATTCTTGATGCGTACTTTAGATTATAAATATGTGAGTAGAAGGAAGAAAATGTTAATTTGTTTGTCGATAGGCCTCTAAGTGTACAATTAAATATACACCTCCTTTCTTCCTCGCAGTTTGAATTCCTCCACCCGGCCATCGTTTCGGAAGGTTAATGGAATGTAATCAGAGAGATAATTTCACTTCGTAATTGGCGCCATCTTATCAGACATTTGGCCAACTGGAAAGTTCATCTCCTCATAGGTACCTGTATGCTGGGTTCATTTTTAAGTTCTTTTTAGTCTGCCATTATTTATTTACTTCTTCAATATTTTCTTTTGTTGTGTAATTACACACACACACACACACACACACACACACACACACACACACACACACACACACACACACATATATATATATATATATATATATATATTATTATTATTATTATTTATTTAAAAATGATAAATGATAAAAAAAATATGTTATAAAATCACTACAAAAATAGCCATTTTGTTTCAACACCACCGGTGTCTTATCAAGTGATGATGTTGAATAAATAATTATATCTGCTCTACTCTGTATTGAGCATTCTTTTAAGAATAGTAATTGTTGGTTATTAGAATTTATTCCGTATACACCAGTCCTAAACAAAAGCGATCTCAATATAATTCTTATACTTGGACATATAAGTGGATTAAACTTGATGAGATCCAAATAATTTATCCCATGCAGATGATCATTTCATCTATGGGAAATAAGTTTTTAACCCTAGACTTATCAATGCAAATACACTAAAATATATAGAAATGGATAGAAAAATAAATATTTATTTTCTATCCATTTCTATAAATTTTACTCTCCTTTTTCCTTATGTTGTTCATTGACGAATATTTGTTTTTCTTTTCTACCCACGTGTAATTTTATCTATTCAACCATTTTTGTCTATATATCTTTGCCCGTATAAGTTACATTATAATAGTATGTTTGAATTCGTTTACTAACACTTTCAATTTTAATATTTCTTGGTGTGTATATGTGTGTCTTTATCAATGTATGTGTGTATAATCTTTTACATGTCCATTTCATTGTATGTATATATTGTGTTTTTTTTTAAGAGTCGTGGTCACCTATTTTCTGTGTCGTCGCATTTTTGCGTGTTTATATATCTAAATATGTCCGCATGTTTCTATATTATAACCTGATTGTGTATGTATTGTCTTTTGCTAGATTTCATCCTTCCCTGCTCACATCATCACTTCAAATGTATCTAAGTTGTGACGAAGCTCAGAGCAACATTAAACGTTGATTCTCACTTAAAGTTCGGACTTTCAATAAACAAAAAATAAATAACAAAACATATGTATTTTTCTCGGTTTCATCTTTAAATAATTTTATAATTTCTTAAACTTAATACAGATTAAATTTAAAGTTTAAAATTGGCAATTTGTAATTGTGAATTTTATAGTAATTAGAATGAATTCTATTTTAGTCTAACCCTAACATTAAAGTATAAATTAATTATTATAATCAAGTTTTTTGAATTCTCATATACTTGTATTTTGATAGGTCATTCTAGGTTATGTAACAGCGTTTCCCCTAGCGAGGGGTGTTTGATTGATTTGAACTTTTTACAACCCTTTATTCTACATTCAACACCATCACCTGATAAGACATCAGAAGTGATGAAACAAAATGGCTATTTTTGTAGTGATTTTATAACATGTTATAATTTTCGAATAAATAAATAATTATATATATATATATATATATATATATATATATATATATATATATATATATATATATATATAAATTTAATGAAAAAACAGACCAATTTAAGGTACCATTACAATAATTTATTTCACCAAAATCCTTTTTGAAGGACTCCGGATCATCAGGTAACACTTCCAACAACGAAATGAAAGGAAAAATGGGATTAGAATCTAATTCTAAATTATTGTAATGGTACCTTAAAGTGGTCTGTTTTTTTCATTAAATATTAGCTCTGTATTCACATTGAGCTCTCAGGATTTCATCCTCCTTGGAATTACCCATTCGGTTTACCAGTTCTTCGTAACTTAAACATATATATATATATATATATATATATATATATATATATATATATATATATATATATAGACAGGTAGATAGATAGATATATATAGAGAAAGGTAGATAGATAGTTTATATACATATATATATATATATATATATATATATATATATATATATATATATATATTCCCGTAAGATTTCATTTTCAATTATTTTTTCACGGCTCTTTGGACTGTCATAGCTGAAACTTGTCTCTCCCGTTGGAGAAGTCTTTCCTAATTAATCTAAGTTGAGACCTCCTCACCCAGTTTTCCTCTTTTTAAAAAATTATTCACCGTTCTCTTGATGCTTATTGAATCGACTTTGAAGATGGAAGCCAGTGTATGAATGTTTGTACCATTACTGAAGGCCTGAAAGATCTTTTTCGTCTCACCATTGCTCATTTGGGAAGACATAGTTGGGCTAGCCCAAAACGATTTTATCCTGTTCTCTTTGTAGCTGAATAATGCAAAGGATTTTTCAGTGATTCTTACGTCAAATATTGTCAAGATGGCGAAACGGTTGATCTGAAAGTCCTGAAAAAAGAAACTCAGTTTAGTGATTTTTTTTTAGGTATTAAGCTTTTTTTTATGAATGGACAATTATGCGATTACACGATTTGGACAATTTCGCTGCTTCACCCGGAATATATATATATATATATATATATATATATATATATATATATATATATATGAAGAAATATAGTTTTAAGGTGTGCTATATTTATGGGATAAAGTGCTCAATATCAGAGACAGAGCATATGTAAATATAAATATAAAAGTGAACATTGAATTCAACATTCAGAGGTGACAGTCTGTTTCATATATATATATATATATATATATATATATATGTGTGTGTGTGTGTGTGTGTGCGTTCGTGTGTGTGTGCGTTCGTGTGTGTGTGTTTGCATATATATATATATATATATATATATATATATATATATATATATATATATCGGGCTTCTTCTACATATATTATTTCTCTCACTGGGAGTAACCTATCCCACTTTATGTCTTTATTGCTATCTCTGTCTCCCTCTTTCTTTCTCCTTCCCAATTCACCAACGTCATTTCTTGGTCTTTCTAGGCCGTAATATCCCCGCCACGCCTAATGACTTTTGCTATCTCTCTAACTACTTCCGCCTCTCTCTTTCTCTCTTTCTCACTCACTCTCTTTCTCTCTCTCTCTCTCTCTCTCTCTCTCTCACTTTCCCGTTTATTTGTCTTTTCTACTTTCTCTATCTAGGGCTTAACCTATCCCACTTTCTACGCCTTGCTCTTTCTCTCGCATTGGTTTTATCCTCTATTTCTTTAGCCTTTTATACGTTCTCTTTTCCTTTCTCTCTCTTTCTCTCTCACTCGCTTGCTCAATTCTTTGGCCGCTTACGAAGTGTTAGTCTGGTAGCATTCTGCTATAACGGATAACGAAAGATGTTTGTTACCAAAGTAGTTTAACAAAGACTTCACAATAATGATTTATTCTACCATAAAGCACGCTTAACTTGAAAAGCATCTTCATAGATTACAAATGGAATACAGGTTCGATTCCTGTCGGAAGTTACATTTTCTCTATTTTCGTTTTCTAGAAATCAGTAGTATCCACTCAGACACGCAGTGACACTAAATTAATATTTTTAGCTATATAACAATAGTACGGCAGCAATTTATTGGAATAAAAGTATTTAAATATGGCAAAAAAACAACCTGCTGAATTTAATTTCATGCAATAGAACCTGACATAGCGTCTCAGCTTCAGTTACTGTCTCTTTGCTAAAAATGCTTTCATCGTAATCGTTCCGAACGTTCCTCTTTCCAGTACAGGATTGGCGCCAAAATCTCTAGATCTTTTTAAAATTAAAATGCAGTATTAATCGTTATCTTATCTTCTTAATTCGTGTTCTTATATGGTACTCTTTCCATAATAGTAATTTTCTCATATTCCCTAATACTAATCTTCAGAATCAGTAATGTTAGTTTACCTCAGTCCATTCATATCTATCTATCTATCTATCTATCTATCTATCTATCTATCTATCTATCTATCTATCACAGTCTACACGTTATCTATCTATCTATCTATCTATCTATCTATCTATCTATCTATAGTATATTCATTCCCGAAAGTAGGTTAACGAAAAATAGTATTTTAGTGTTCTCTGACTGCGCAAATATTTCATCTGGTTATATTCATTTCTAGACACTGATTTAAACGATGTATATTGCGGAATCTTTTTGCGTGTTTGTGAATATTGTCTGCTGTTGCGTAGAATTTACAGCGTGGTTGTGTTTACTATTCTAAGTATGTCGGTATGTAATTGCGTCCGGAATAGTATTGGTATCTTATAATCCTATATGCTTACGTGCCTTTCTTTTAGGTTACTCTGTTTGTAGCTGAGACCATTACATGGCTACCATCTTTTGTTTACTCAATCATTTAAATCAAGTCCACCAAATTTTATCTATCTATCTATCTATCTATCTATCTATCTATCTATCTATCCCAGTCTGCACATTATCTATCTATCTATCTATCTATCTATCTATCTATCTATCTATCTATCTATCTATCTATCCCAGTCTTCACATTATCTATCTATCTATTTATCTATCTATCTATCTATCTATCTATCTATTACATAATATACATTATCTATCTATATAATACAAACTGTACATTATCTATCTATCTATACACACACACACACATATATATCTATCTATCTATATATATATATATATATATATATATATATATATATATAGATAGATAGATAGATAGATAGATAGATAGATACTATTAATTGGCAATGCAGCTTTTGTAGCCATAATTGCTGATTTGCTGATAAGGAGGCATTTAAGGCAATCAGGATTTGTGTTCGAGTACACAATATCGAAGATAGAGATAGAGGGTTCGTCTCCGTGCTTTAACAATATACAGTTGACTCAAATGAAATGTGTTTGACGATACCGATGCTTTTTTAATCTCCACTGAGTGTGTCCGTTGGCCTTGTTCAATGACGTGCTTTCTATCAATAATCTGTAACTAAGGTACGCTCAGCATAGTTGCAGTATACACCATTGATTGACTGTGGTAGTTTAAAAAAAAACACAAATGTGCCCACATCTACAGCTGCGAATCGCTGGCCATCCTCGCTCATCAGCATACCTGGAAGCGAGTAGCAATATTAATGACATTAATTGTCTTTTCTCGCACCTCCAATGTGTTAGTAAGCAAATGTTCTTTTCGATTGTAATCGAACGTGAATTTCGTCTTGGCTTGGGGAAAGTGCTTTGAAGCTAAGTAAGCTTTGTCTTAAGCTACAAGATGTTAGTACAGCAAAATCATACGCTGATGAAAAATAAAAAGTCCCGAGTTTTCTGACCAAATCATCAACCAGCAGATTTTTCCGAAAGAGATATTGCTCATGTTTAGCACTTTCAGTTTCACTTTCACTTTCACTTTCACACAAATGACCTCTGATGGGCAAGGTCTGACTTAAGCTTCACCTCCGAAGAGCTATCGGTTAATAACTTTTATTGTCCTCTCTTCTTAGTAGTTTTTTTTCTTTCTCAGAATTTGTCATACACAGTAACCACTTTAGACTTAGTGGCTTTATTGTCTTTAAGAATGAAATGACTAAAAAAAGTATTGTTTGTTTTTTGTTTTTTTTTTAACTTTTCTTTTTAATCGGATTACATAGTCCGGACAAGATCTCGGGCCTAACATATCGATGCATACTTACGTAAATAAAGGTCATCGGCACGGAGAGTGAAAGCTGCATGACAAGTTCAATTTCGAGTTTCTTTGCATTTATTTCCACACAATTTAAAGCTTGACCCATGATTAACCCCCAAAAAGATATGGTTTAAAAACTGAGTAGAGTCACCTCTCTAGACTTGAATGGCTGCCAGACTAGTAGAAAGACTACTTTTGATGCAGAATCGTAGATCAGGCAACTGGAAGTCACTGCAATATTTTTCTGTAGTATCCATGGCAATGCATAGAAATTAAACGAATGTTATCCCTAGGAATGAACAGCGAATCGAGAAGAAAACGACATCCGGAGATTAAACAATGTGTTCAGTTCCTCTGAAAGTTAAGCGACGTCGAGCTTGGTCAGTAGCGAGATGGGTGACGTCTTGGAAACACGAGGTGCTGTAGGTTTGCATGTGAGGTTGATGTAATGTATAACGACTGTGAATAGAAATCGGAGAGCCGATTTCATATTCCAGTCGGGTCCGTTATGTTCATTTACGAGTAAATACCCCTCGGAAAGGTATAAATCTTGTACACTAGCTATGGGCTAAATAGCACTGCTTATATCAGAATATCTGTATTATCCTCAAACCAAATATATCCCGGTATAAATAACATGAAAAAGTCTCAAGACGAGGACAGTAATCTGAATATATATATATATATATATATATATATTATCGTTTTATATATATATATATATATTATCGTTTATTATATTATATCTTTTATATATATATATATATATATATATATATATATATATATATATATATATATATATATATATATATATATAATGGAAAGGAATTTGGGGGGGGCACTGATCGACTATATGTTGAATATGTTGACTGGAAGTGGCATTAATGTCTCTTTTTAAAAATGCTTGCATTTTAGAAGGCGTTAGATTTTCTTCTATTATTGTTTCTTAAGGGTTTACTTGCTCATCGTATTCCCTCGAATGTTTATCATTAAATGATTTCTTTCTTTTCTGCTTTCTTAAATTACGATCTTCCGATATTAAACGCGGCAAACTGACGCGCTTTAATTACCATCAACGAGAGACGCTATTTACTGTCATTTCCAGAGCTCTCCAGCAAAAACAGATTGTATTAGACGTGTTCTCCTTCACAATATACGTACAATGTATCTGTTAATAACATTTCGTCTGAAAGTTAATTAATCATACAATACAGAATGTCAGACAAATTTAAAATAAAAATGCAGTAATTTCTTTTTTATGCTCGAAACGTTTTAAACGCGCAAATTGTTCGAAATAAACATACGAGCTGTACAAAGTTATGAGCTGATAAATTCTGTGGATGAATTCTTTGGCCATACCTATTTTTTACAAAGGAGTATTAACGCCAAGTTGCAAAAGAGACGTCAGTTAATGCAGTTTATAAGATTTATTCTTTGTTTAAGAGTTTAATTAACTTTCACTCGATAACACGATCGATTTTAAGACTATGTATATTTATTTTTTTTGGACAATGTATATATATGTATGTATCTATCTCACACTCTCTCTCCATATATATATATATATATATATATATATATATATATATATATATATATATATATATATATACAGATTCCAGTCTATTCTTAATCTGTCTATTAATATATCTATTCCAGTCTATTATTATTATCTATCTATACTAGTCTTCATTATCTATCTATTGTAGTCTATTCTAGTCTATTCGTAATCTATCTATCTATCTATCTATCTATCTATCTATTCCAGTCTACCATTATCTATGCCAGTCTTCATTATCTATCTATCTATCTATCTATCTATCTATCTATCTATCTATCTATCCCTGTCTGCACATTATCTATCTATCTATCTATCTATCTATTCCAGTCTATTCGTAATTTATCTATCTATCTATTTATTCCAGACTACCTTTATCTATCTGTTGAAACTTGACTAATGCATGGAATAATAATGCAACACAAAATGTACTTAGAACAAAATGTATTGAAACAAGAAAGTGTACACAATTTTTACATATAGTCTTTTGTATATTCCTGGTAAGACCGTTCCTGGAGAATGTGTTGACTGAGTCACAGTCGGGCAGAGTCTCTGGTTGAATTTCTTGATTCCTTCCTCTCTTCCCGGTACCAACCATATTTATATGGTCGGTACTCCACTATGCAAATTAGGTGGATCCTACCACAATACTATCTATGCTAGTCTTCATTATCTATCTATCTATCTATCTATCTAAGTTTATTCATGTCATCGAAAGCAAGGTGGGATGCCACTAGGACGCAGGGGATTACGTGAGTGAAGATGAGAAAAACAAACTAGATATGGTGGGGGGGAACAGAGGGTGGGGTAAATCCTGACCGTGGTTGAATAAGATAGAAGATGTAGATTGGCGTTTCATTTAAATTCTCGACGTTTCTTATTATCAGTAAAACAAGGAAACGGAAGTGAGTTCCACAGGCGGGAATTGCGAGAAAAGCAAGTCTTGAAGTATAAGTGGCGGTTACGTAGTTCAGGCACCGGAAAACAAAGTTCGTCAGATCAGTTGCCCTGAAAATATTTGTAGAAAAGGCAGAGGGAAGCCACGGCACGTCGGTGAGAAAGTGATGGATTTTGAGATACCAAAATAGGATCGATTACATTGCAGGTCATTCTTTGGATTATGTCAAGAACCTCGAGATGAGTCGTTGGATGACTAGACCAGAAATGGCCACAGTATTAAGTACACGGAAGAATGGTTGATTTGTAAATGTGCAAGTCGATCTCTTACGAGAAAACCATTTGACACAAAACAGTGACCCAACTTTCCATGCAATAGATGCAGCTTTTTGATTCCTTTTAGTCGTTCCACTTCAAGTCATTTGTAAACATTGAGGCCACGATGCCGCAGTGCTTTGCTCTCCATGAGTCTAGCATCAGTCATGCTGATGGCGGAGAGGGATGTTTCTCTACGGTGGTTAAATGAGAGCAGTTTCGTTTTAGAGGCATTGATATTTACGAGCCATATCATGTCACAGTTAAACACATTGGCGGTCATTTTCATGAGAGGCGATCAGGTTAAATTTGTCAGCTCTGGCGGTTTTGCTATTAAGACACGAGAAAATGGTAGTGTCATCAACATACATGCCTACTTGGTGAACTGATGACATTCAGAGAGATCATTGATGAAGATCACATACAACATAGGACCCAGGGAATAGCCTTGAGGGACAACCGCGTTCATGTAAAATGATCTGGAAGCGAACTCATTCAAAATGCCATTCATCCCAGGATTTGACAGGAATGATTGAATCAAATCAAACAGTCGAACAGTAATCACGTATCCGTGGAGCTACTGTACTGATGCGGCATTCAACCTGGGCGGATTGAGCCGGCTTCTTCCTTTTATGAGAAGAAGATTCTTGGGATAAATTACAGAAGTAGGATACCCAGGCCTACTCGGATAACGTTCTTGCTTGCCGCGGGATTCCCACAGACGCAGAGACAGGAACGACCAGAAGCCGCCGGTTACCGATGCAGACGCTCCTTGGATTTTCACCAGAGCCCTTGTTAGCCGGCGTGTGTGTCAGACCTGTCCGCCTTGGGTGGCCCTACCAGGAACGAAGTTCCGGGCGACATAGCTCTGACACTACCGTTTACACCCCCCCACCGACTGTGAGGTAAGGGTCGGACTTTGGGGGCTTACAGTACCAGGTGTTCCCAAGCGGTCCCCCATCTAAGTACTGACCTGGCTCTACGATGCTTAACTTCGGTGATCGAACGAGAACCGGCGTTTTCAGCGTGATTGACCGTAAGCTGTATCCGTGGAGCATACGTAGAAAACTAGCGTTTGAAACCCTGTCAAACGCCCTCGTGATATCTACATCCACAGTTAGAGATTCGCCGTTATTATCAAACGCAGCGGTAGGCTTGGCAAGACAGAAGCCATATTGTTTGTTAGAGAGTAAGTACTGAAAGTTAAGATGCTTAACCAATTTAATATTGATTAAAGCCTCGAATATTTTACCGAAATGCGGTAGCTCAGTTGTTAGAGGTGTCAGAATATTCTCCAGCGTTCTCAAAAAACAGGATATACAGAGGTGAACAAGCTGGAAATCTGGAAGCAGTGTGGCAATAATTGTATAACCTGGAGAGAACTGGAACTAGATCGGGAGAACATTTCTTTAGGACGACGGCTGGGATCCCTTCACATGCGCTTGTCTTATGGGACTCTAATTTAGAAATTATATCTGAGACCAGTGACGGGGTTACGCGCATATTATTCAGTAGAGCCCCTGTTTGGGGGGAAGATCAGGTATGGGTACTCTAAATGAGTTGAGTGTTGAGATGGAAGAGAATTTCCGAGCAAAGCATTCAACCATATCTGCTGTATATGAAAGCACTTCGAAATGATTGAACAGAGCGTGGGTTGAGGAATTGGTGTTGTTCATCTCACTTTGAAGATCCGCCAATAATCTCGAGAACAGAACGTTAATTTTTTCATTCCATCGACAAACTCGGCCTCTTTGAGGACACGCTTGCACTCGTTAAATGCATAGACAAGGAGACGTGTCGCTGTACTACAGTCTGAATTAGTGATTTCTGTGGGCTATAGCGGCTTAGCGCGCAGATGAGAACCAAGGAGATAAATCCGGTTTAACTTTGTATTCCTTGTTGAAATGAAAGCATTGATGCCGGCTTTCACCAAAGAAGAGACCTCACACGGTCATTTATGGACAGAATGATTAAAAACTTCATTCCAAGGGACTCACGAAGGAAGTTACGGAATGAGTCCCTATCCGATCGCTCATAACAGAAAGCTATTCAGTTTCTAGGAGGCTATCGGCTAGTTGGTGAGCGGAAAGTGGTGTTTATAGGAAGTACCACATGATCAGAATTGCCAAGATCTGCATAGTACGACATGAGTCCGGGATAGTAAAAAGAGATGGGGAAACAAGAGGGGAAGCCCACTACTTGCGTGAGAGAGTGAGAGATTGAAAGGTTAAGGGTTTTGATGCTAGCTGAGTCAGTTACAGTGTGTAAGACACATTGGGATCGTTGGCATTAAAGTCACCTACCATAAATATATTTGCAAACTGGTGAAGGGAGATGGCCTTTTCTATATTATGAGAAATACAATCTAACACGCAATAGTTATGAGAGGAAGGAGTACGGTAGAGAAAGAAGATATCGCTCTAGGTCCATTCATATCTATCTATCTATCTATATATATATATATATATATATATATATATAATCAGCCAATTCATATCTATCTATCTATATATATGTATGTATCTATATATATGTGTGTATGTGTATCGGTCTATATTGATATGTCTATACACCTATCTCAGTCTATTATCTATCTATCTACCTATCTATCTATCTACCTATGTATATCTATAACGAACTCACACTCAAACACGCACACACACAGATATATATATATATATATATATATATATATAAGTATAAGTGCGTAGGTATGCAGAAAATAGAAAAGAACACGTTGGGTGCATAATCCGGAGTTCCTTAGTATTTTTGTTTTTATTTTTAAGAAGACAGTGCTCCATACAGAAGTAGAGCTTATATTACAATAATATTTTTTGTTTAAAAATATGATTCCTTCGCTACATAAGAGTTCTCATGTTTCAAAAACGAGAGCCGAAATATCCAAATAATTATCAAAATTAAGTTGAATTGTGGTGTTTCATCTTCAAGAGAAATTTTAGGATTCCTAAAATTTCGCTTGAAGATGAAACGGGACTAAACACCACAATTCAACTTAATTTTAATAAGTATTTGGATATTTCGGCTCGTTTTTGAAATATGAGAACTCTTTATGTACCGAAGGAATCATATTTTTAATCCAAAAATATTATTATATATATATATATATATATATATATATATATATATATATATATATATATATGAAGAAAAACTTTTCTTGACCAGCGCGATTCGTCCCTAGTAAACTTTATCAAATTAAATGTGAAGATTTTATTTTGAAACTTATATTTTACGATCTTTTGTGGGAGAAGAGAAAACTTAATTTTTGTCATATGCGGTTTTCGCTTCTTTACTGAAACTTTTGCATGCAAAGATTTTATATCTATACTTTCAATTAGTTCCTTATCTATCTACACTTTCAATTTTCTTTCATCTATCAATTATTTCTCCAGATTTTTTTTTTTTTTTTTTTTTTGTATGGTTAAAGCTAATTGTATCAAGTCGTGGGATCAAAAGTCTGTCTTGACTTCCGATGAGTTCATGTGGGTTGCTACCTATTTCTGAGTACTTTTGGTAATCTCCCGAATGTGGGTGTTTTCTGATTACGTTCGATTAGTTTTAACCATAAAATATCTACATTATTTAATAATTTCTTCATTTCATGTCTTACCTTTTCTGTCTCTTTTGAGATCTGGCCTTCATTTATTGCTCTATATAAGTTTCATATTTTGTTGTTATGCATATGTATCCATAATTATCACTCCAATTCCTTTATCGGAAGCGGGTATATAAATGTTGTTGCCATTAGATATTTCTTTCAGAATTTCATATATCTGCAAGGAAATGTAATTTAATTGGTTGTTTCAGTTGCGGACGTTATTAAACCCTGGATGTACCCGATGCTGAAATCCTATTCATTTTATTATGAAATATGTAATATCCACTTTCCAAATTCCAGTAGAAAATTTTAGACCGAAACTAAGAACTTCCATTTGTGTATCCGATAATTCGTAATTGGGTAATTTTTTTTCTTAGGATTTTCTGACGACCCTTCTCTACTTACTCTTGAAAACTAATGCTTTTATTTTGTTCTGTAAACTCCAAATCTGGTTATTTCTTATACAGTCGAATGGATTTTTTAGGTTTTTCTGTTCGTATTCAGTTTAAATGGGATGAAAATGATTTACCATTTTTTTCTTATTTTTCTATGTGATGTATCCCTTCGGGACTTTAGTGTTCATGGCTCTGCACAATCTCCTGTATTAGCTACTGAAAAATGCATTCGACTCAGACAATTATATTAATATTTCATAAAATATTTCATAATAAAGAAAATATCTGTTTTAAAATATGGTAATATTTCATAAAAAATATTTCTTATTAAAGAATTCCTGTTTGTAAATGTGGTAATATTTCATAATAAAGAAAATATCTGTTTTAATATATGGTAATATTTCATTAAAAAAAATTCTTAATAAAAAATTCTTGTCTTTAAATGTGGTAATATTTCATAATAAAGAAAATATCAGTTTTAAAATATGGTAATATTTCATAAAAAAATATTTCTTAATAAAGAATTCCTGTCTTAAATTAATGGTTTCTCTCCTGAATCTTTACTTTTCTCCTTGGTGTATTTTTGTTGCAGTCTCTTATTTATCCGGTCATGATTTCCTGCAACACGTGTAGGCATGTTATTGACCTGTAATTTGTCGGCTGGATACTAAGTTTTTTATAATGATTCTTCATCCATCCGTGATTTATTTTGAAAAAAAAATTTTCTTGTGAATATTCAAAGTTTACGATCACATACGTTCCTCAATTTAAAACACTAAAAAAATGTAGTTTTCTACATTTTTAACGTTGATAAAATAACGGGTTCCCTAACTTGAAAGAGTAAACAATAATTCCGTGATGTGTATTTCTTTAACCTAATCCATAGATTCCATGGAATTTCCTTAGTGTGTTTTTAGAATATAAGAAAAATATTTCTAATGAAGTGCTTCTCAAACTTTTCGTCCAATTCAACCTTTTCACTATAAGTCAGAATGCCATTACCTCATTCCAAACATTATATTTGTAAAAAATCTTCATTCTTATCCATATTTGTACATAGACAATTGTTTCATTTTTTAGAGAAGGTTACTAAGCTTAAGAGGAATAGAGCATGTTGGATTTTTAAATAAATACACTGCAGTATACATAAGTAAACAAAAGTACAATAAAATGGCAGGGTATTTTAATTCAATAAACAAAATTATGAAGCAACAAACAGAAAAAAAAATTCCAATTGTCAAATTAAGATTTAAACTGTTGTATTTTAGAAATGATTAAAGATATGTTACTGAAATTCTCCGAAGTTTTTATAACATTATTAAAAAAATAAAAATGCATAATTTCTCTGCAAGCTTAACAGTAGAATCGTGATGAAATCGATCATAAACGAAAATTACATGTTCATCATTAATTAATCATAGTTAAGGATCGGAAGCTCTGGAAGGATTGAAATATAGTACAAATATATCATTCCAGTCTAATTTTACAACTTATTCAAGATGATCTTCGCCTTCTTTAACCTTCTAACTTTCTGTCCTGGAGTTGCCTCACATGGTTTCACGTACAATTTCATTTTCCAATATTTTTCACTGGTCTTTGAACTGTTATGGATTGAGCTGTACCTTTTCTAATTGATCTCTTTAGATCTAAGTTGAAACGATGATCCCTCTTTCTGTCGTGACCTCTTTATTTAGTTTTCCTCTCTACTGTTCCCGCTTTTTAAAGCTTATTCACTGTTCTCTTGATAGTTCTCGAATGAACTTTGAAGATGGAAAGAGTATGAATGTTAGTAACATTACTGAAGACCTGAATGACTTTTTCCTCTTAGCATTGCTCAGTTGAGACAACAGTGGGGTTGGCACAAAAGATTTTAACTTCTCCCCTTTTCTAGCTGAATGACTCAACGAATTTTTCTTTGATTCTTACAACAAATGGTGTCAAGATGGCAAAACGTCTTGCCTGAAAACCTGATCAAAAGAAACTCAATTAGTTTAGTGCTTTTTAGATATTAAAACGATTTGTGGGATCGTCATTTATGCTGATACACGATTTGGCGCAATTTTTCTGTTATATGCGCTTACCGTATATTTTGGGAGAATTATTGATGATAAAATTATTTAAATTGGAATAATCTTTGATAATTATGTAGGTATGTAAAAGCAGTCACGAGTTTAATTTCGGAACAAAACTCAAACGGATAGATGTCAACTTAATAATCAACAAGAAAAAAGTTTAAGCAAATAAAAAAGATTACTAGACGTAAAAGGAAATTATTCTTTCAATGTACTTTCTATGAATTTTTTCCAATCGACTATTTCATAGAAAATACCCAAAACTCCAACAAACATCAAATTAAATTCTTCGTAGATTGTTTAGACATTTAGATTTATATCAAACTTTAACCCCTAAATATACCCTTTAAAGTAATGCGAAATAACAGCGTCTAAGAATTTGAGTGAAACATTCTCTCATGATTTATTTTATTCTATCTTTTTCCTTTTATGTCGGTTTTCTTCTTTACCCCTTACACATCTATATGTAGAGATAACATGCGTTAAATTAAGTGATGCCTGGCCCACACCAAGGGAGCTTAAGAATAAAGAATTGAAATGGTACATCTAACTCACTCATGTCTTCTCTCCCCCTTCACTTCCTCACTTCGTCAATTTACATATGCTTAATACGGCCCGTCAAAAATGTGTAAATTTCTTTTCATTTTTCATTTCAACCTTTGGAAGTAAAGTCGGATGATCCAGAGCCCTTTAAAAGGGTTGTGGTGAAATAATTTATTACATGGAACCTTAAAGTGGTCTGTTTTTATTCAAAGTTATATATATATATATATCTTTTTTCACGGCTCTTTCGAGTGTCATAGCTAAAATTTCTCTCCCAGGTTACAAACTACTTATGAATTGAGTTGAAATGATGATCTCTCTTCCAGTTGAGACCTTCTGATCCAGTTTTCCTTTCTACTGTTCCTTTTTTTTTTTTTTTTTTGAAGTTATTCACCATTCTCTTGATGGTTCTTGAATCGTCTTTGAAAATGGAAACCAGAGTATGAATTTTGGTACCCTTACTGAAAGACTGGATGATCTTTTTGCTCCCACCATTGCAAATTTTGGAAGACAGTGTGTCTGAGACAAAATGATTTTAACCTGTTCTCTTTCTAGATGAGTAACTCAAAGGATTTTCGGTTATTCTTACGGCAAATGGTGTCAAGATGGCTGAAATCCTGCAAAAAAAAAAAAATTAGTTTAGTTTTTTTTAAGATATTAATCATTGTATAGGATGGACATTTATGCTGTTACACGATCTGGACATTTTACTATTACACCCGGTAAATAAAAACCAGGAAAAATTAAAATATTTTCCCTTCACATTGAAACCCTGACATTCCTCTCAGGATTCTCCCCCTTTTGTGAACTACTCTTCTAATTTATACTCTTCCCCGAATATATGACCAGAAGTAGACGTTTATACCTTGGTCCTTGTTTAGGACTGCGTTTCCGTTTCCTTCTAAAATCTCTTTCACTCCCATAACCCCCATTGCCTCTTAGTGACATTATCACCTTGCTTGGAGTGCATTGATTTAAACAAATGGTTCATAGTTCGAAAGGATT